TCATTCTCTCTCGCTCTCTCATTCTCTCTCGCTCTCTCTCTCTCTCTCTCTCTCTCTCTCTCTCTCTCTCTCTCTCTCTCTCTCTCTCTCTCTCTCTCTCTCTCTCATTCTCTCTCTCTCTCTCTCATTCTCTCTCTCTCTCTCTCATTCTCTCTCTCTCTCTCTCATTCTCTCTCTCTCTCTCATTCTCTCTCTCTCTCTCATTCTCTCTCTCTCTCTCATTCTCTCTCTCTCTCTCATTCTCTCTCTCTCTCTCTCATTCTCTCTCTCTCTCTCATTCTCTCTCTCTCTCTCATTCTCTCTCTCTCTCTCATTCTCTCTCTCTCTCTCATTCTCTCTCTCTCTCTCATTCTCTTATTCTCTCTCTCTCTCTCATTCTCTTATTCTCTCCCCCCCCTCTCTCTCTCTCTTTCTTTCTCTTTTTCTTTCCCTTACACCCACCTTCACACCGTATCACACCGCACTACACTTGCTCTCTCCCTCTCTCTCCCTCTCTCTCCCTCTCTCTCCCTCCCTCTCTCCCTCCCTTTCTCCCTTTCTTTCTCTCTCTCTCTCTCTCCGTCCTCTTCCTCTTCTTCCCTTCTTCCTTCTCTCTGTCTCTTTCTCTCTCTCTTTCTATGAGCATGTGAGTGATTAAGGCACACACACATACACACACACACAGAGAGAGAGAGAGAGAGAGAGAGAGAGAGAGAGAGAGAGAGAGAGAGAGAGAGAGAGAGAGAGAGAGAGAGAGAGAGAGAGAGAGAGAGAGAGAGAGACCGAAAGACCAAGAAAGAGAGAGAGAGAGAGAGAGGAGGAGGAGGAGGAGGAGGAGGAGGAGGAGGAGGAGGAGGAGGAGGAGAAGGAGGAGAAGGAGGAGAAGGAGGAGAAGGAGGAGGAGGAGGAGGAGGAGGAGAGGGGAGGGCAGAGGGTCCAGCAAGCAACCCAGCCAGAGCTCCTGTGGAAGGAAGGCAGACCCGAGGTCGGTCGACTCCGGCGCGGCGCGGAGTGATCCCGTAATTCGGGGCCTTCAACCCCAGCTCTTTGAGTTTCCGCCAAGCATTCGAAGACTTCCCTTCCCTTCGACCCGACCCGTTCGGTCTGAGGCCCTTGACATACTGTGGTTGTCGGGTATTTCTTATCATTGTTACTGCAGTGGCCTCGCCGTTTTTTGGTTTGGTTTTGCCCTGTATTTTGAGTTCGAATTCTGGAATTGGGCATTTGCTATTATAATAAGAATAATTAATTAATAATTAATAATTAATAATTACTTTTATGTCAATCTAAAAGTAGTATAATTACTAGTATGTCTTTTTTATGTTCAACTTGAAATTGAAATTGAAATATCGGTATTATAGCCAATAATACAATCAATGTTTCCATCTGTAATAATCATAATCACTTTTAGGAATAACAACAATCGTCTTTACATAATAACCCTATAACCATCAACCTTGATCCTAGTAATTATCAGTTATATAACGATTCAAAATCCGCATGATCAGAAGAAAATTCACCGCCAAATCAATGTCTATCCCATAGCACCAAACAGAAAGTGAGTGGTCCAAACGCCGCCATAGATTCTGGACATGAAAACGTACAGGGCCATAGGCAGTGCCATGGTTTATATGAGATGACTGGTTGGCTCTGCCCAGTAATTTAAACCAATGTTGCGTCATTGCGACGAGGGAAGGTACAGGCACCAAACCTACGGTTCCCATGAACTTGTCATGGGACCGTCATGCTCACACGGGACGGGCATGGATTGCGGCGGTGCCAAACTTACCTTCCGCCGAGTGTGTGACGGCGGCTTGTTACTTTTGACGAATGCGTCGGTGCCGTTGGTGCCACGGCCGTAGGTGCCCCTGCCGTAAGTGTCACTGACGTAAGTGCCACTGCCATAGGTGCCACTGCCATAGGTGCCACTACCGTACGCACTCTGGCCGGAGCCCAGGTCATCCAGCGTGCAGGTGGATACTGTCTCGACCACGGTGGAGTGCGAGGCTGTCCGGCCACACACGCCCAGCGAGCGCAGCACGCCGCCCACGCCCGAGGAGCTCGTGGACGGAGGCTTCGCCTTGAGGGGGAACACGGCGTCGGGGAACACGACCGCGCTGGTGCCCAGGAGCCCGCACGTCGCCCTGTCGTCCGGCGGGCCGCCCAAGGAGCCGCGCTTCCATTGGCACTGGCTAGGGGGCTTCTCTAGACCCACGGTAGCAAGGTCGCCCGCGACGCCCGCCACGCCCGGGTTCGAGTAATACTGGAAGCCCACCTCCTCGTAGATGGAGTCCTCATCCTGCTGAGAGGGCGTGCAGCCGTCGCAATGGCACGGCGACGGCTGGTGGGCGGGCAGTGGCAGCCGCACCGAGTAGAGGGCGTCCCGTAGGGCCAGGGGACTGCTCCTGACGGGCGACCTCGGGATGGGTCTCGGGGGTAACGGCGGGGCGTCGGAGCTGCGGGACGACGCGGGGGAGGAGTCCGGCGTGAGCCAGGGCAGCGGCGAGCGGCCCCGGGGCGTCGAGCCGTCCGGGGTGAGCCAGGGCGCGGGCGAGAGGCCCCTCAGCAAAGGAGGCTCCAGGAGCTGATTGTCCTCGCCCGCGTCGGAGCAGCAGTCGCAGTAGCGGTGCGCGGGATCCTCGCCTCCCACCATCACAACACAACACACACAAACACGGTTCGACACAAGACGACACTCGCACTCGATGCCACTGTCTTTCCCACAGCGATGACACTGTCTCCACTACATTCCTTGCAAGAAATCCGCTTCCCTCGCGGTTCAGACGTCGGCTACATGACGGCAACGGTACACCGTGCGAACCACCCACTTTCTTTGCCTCGGCGACACTCGCACTGCGTCGCCTACCACAGCCACGTCCTGCCGGGGGTGAGCATGACAGGTGCTGGCGTAGACATGTGCCTCAACGGGCGAGAAGGAGAGCGAGCAAGACGCACGCCGCCGCCGCCGCGCCGTGAGCAAGGGCAGGAAGGACACTGGAAGCGGGGGCGTATGGCAGGGAAGCACGGAAGGATCGGCGAGCGCGGCCGGCCTGAGGAGCTGCTGTGGGATTACGTCCGGTGCGGCCGCCGCGGAGGAGCCGCCGGTGCAGGGGTGGCTCATGTCGCACCCTCGATCACGCCCCCCAACACTTACTTCCCTCCCCCCTCCTCCCGCTCTCCCCCTCCCACCCGTCACCTCCCCATTCCCAAATTTCTACCTCCCCTCCTCCTACTCCTTACTTATTTACCTCCTTCCCCCTCCCTTTACTTTTCCATCTCCCTTCCCCCGCTCCCTCCTTCCTTCCTTCCCTTCCAACTCTCCTTTACCTCCCCATTTCTACTTTCCTCCCTTTCTCTCAGACTTTATTTTTTCCTTCCCCCTTCACCTTCTCCCTTCCCTTACCGCCCCCCCTCCCTCCCTTGCAAAACCCAGAGACACGCGGCAACAGCAGCGTCCCTCGCAGCTGCACCTTCACCGCAACCAAATCCCACGCCACCAGAGAGCGCATTGTCCTCCGCCGATACACTCTTGATATACAAAACGCCTTGTTTCCTGCAGGAGCGTCAAGAATATGGCAACACCGGTGAGCACCCGAGGTATGGGGGACAAACCCCCCTTCACTCTCCCTTCTTTACCTTCTTTCCCCCCATTAAAAACATACGATTCTCTTCTCCCTTCCTTCTCTCCCTTCTCGTTTACTTCCCCTCCCCTCATCCCTCTCCTCCTTCCCATATCCCTAGTTTCCCCCTTCTCCCTTCTCTCTTTTATCTCCCCTCCCCTCTTCCTCCTCCTTCCCATATCCCTAGCTTCTCCCTTCTCCTTCCTCCTCCTCCTCCTCTCCCTCCCTCATCCCTACCTTGCTAACACACAACACGTGAAGCAAGAGTGAAAGAAGTGGTCACAGAGGAAGAGGGTTAAAGCAGGTGAGTTTACAACAAGAGACAGGAAGTGGGAGAAAGAAAAAAAAAATTATGGATTAGGTGTGAGATATGGAGGTGAATGAGAATGAGAAAGAGAAAGAGAATGAGAGAATGAGAGAGAGAGAGAGTGAGAGAGAGAGAGAGAGAGAGAGAGAGAGAGAGAGAGAGAGAGAGAGAGAGAGAGAGAGAGAGAGAGAGAGAGAGAGAGAGCAATAGGTGTTGGGGAGGACAGAAGAAGCGGCGAGGACAGGAAGGAGAAGTCGCCCGAGGGGGAAGTGGTTCATGGGCAGCCCGAGGGAAGGGGTAGAAGTGTGCGTGATGAGGGGGGAGAGGGGAAGGGAGAAGTAGGGGTAGGGGTAGGGGTAGGGGATAGGGGAAAGGAGGGCGTGGGGGAAGTCGAAGGGAATCATGAAGTGAGGAGAGGTAAGGGAGGAGGCCAAGGGGGGGGGGGGCGCAATAAACGAGCCGAGCCGACCGACAGAGCGGTAAGCCACTAGCCAGCGACAGACGAACCGCCGGCGTTGGCAGCCAAAGTTCAAATAAGTCTTAAATGGACTGGTAGCGGCAACGGCAGCAGCGGCGCCGTCGGTAGCGAGGGGCTCTGTTCGGCTGTGCGAGCGAGCGGACGAGCGGTCACGAGCCGCAACTTTCCCACACCATCTCCGAGCCGCCGCTCGCCGCAAGACAAAACACATTCGAACGACGGCCCGCTAACACCGCACGCCCCCCCCCCAACCCTTCCTTTACCCCTCCCCACTCCTCTCCCCCTCACCCCACTCACCCACCCACAACTTCCTATTCCCCCGTCCACGAACGCCTCCCCACCCCATCCCCCATTAAATCCTAACACCTCAAGCCCCCCTCCCCCGCCTCCCACTAAGTCACAGCGCCCTTGACGCGGGGAAGAAAGGCACAGCGGCACCATGTTTTCAGAGGACACCGCTCGCTCACTGTCCTCCTCGCCGCGGCACTAAGCACAATGCACTACACACTATACATACATCCACAGCGAAGATGGTGACGAGGACGAGGCCGGCGAGAGAATGCCAAACGTTCCCGCGAGTCCTGTCATCTGTTACGACTCGGCCACTGGCGATGAGTGTGCAAGATGTGGGCCAACGTGCTTGCAACAAGCACGCGGTTTATGCCTGCAGGCTGCCAACGTCGCTCGGGCCCCCTGGCGCAGCCGTCCATGAAACGCCTTTATCGGCCAAGATTTAAGTAGCTATATAATTCTTTAAGGCAACTAGTAAATAAACAAACGCATACAACATACCACACACACACACACACACAAACACACACACACACACACACACACACAGACACTCCAAGTCAGAGAAGAGCAACCTTTCACAAGAAAAAAAATCAATGAGAATGGGGGGGGAAAGGGAGAGGGAGAGGGAGAGGGAGAGGGATAGAGAGAGAGGGGGGAGGGATAGAGAGGGAGGGGGGAGGGATAGAGAGGGAGGGGGGAGGGATAGAGAGGGAGGGGGGAGGGATAGAGAGGGAGGGGGAGGGATAGAGAGGGGGGGAGGAGAGGGGGGGAGAGGGAGAGAGGGAGAGGGAAAGAGAGAGGGAAAGAGAGAGAGAGAGAGAGAGAGAGAGAGAGAGAGAGAGAGAGAGAGAGAGAGAGAGAGAGAGAGAGAGAGAGAGAGATAGGAGGGAGGGAAGGAGAGAAGAAGAAAACAAGAAGGGGGGAGAGAGAGAGAGAGTGATATGGGGACGAGAGAAGACAGACAGACAGAAACAATTGCCAGTAATGGGAGTGACATTACTCATGGCACCGACACCATGACAAACATACTATGGCACCGAGCCCGCCAAACCATACCGGGCCCCTTCAATGTCATTACCGCGAGAACGCAATTAACATATCCGACATAGTCTATACCATAATAGCCAACATTGCAAAATAGTTTACATTACAAAATCATTACAGCCTGCGCCATCGGCATATAAAAGCCCCCCTCCCCCCAACTGAACAAAAAAAGTTACAAACCTCGTTTATTAAGAGAATCTAGCAGATATATTATACGTGTAATGCATTAGCATACATTATTGTTAATAATAAATTGTTGACGAGTGCCAACAACTCAACGGGAGAGAGAAAAGGAGAGGAGAGGGGGGGAGGAGAGTTGGGGGGGGGCAAGTGTCATCTCAGCCGAGAATAAATGAAAAGAATAATTCACAATGCAAAGCATGCAACAAAAGGTAGAAGGAGGGAGAAGAGGGGAGGGGGAGGGGGTGCGAGGGGGAGGGGAGAAGGGATGTGAAGGAAGAGAGAAGAGGAAAGAGGAGGGGAGAGTTAGATGAGGGGGGTAGGAAGGTGGAGGAAGAGAAGGGTGCAGTAAGGTGGGGGGAGGAGAGTGAAAGAGCAAGGAAAGGGGATGGAGGAAGGGAAATACAGGAAGAAAAAAAGGTAAAGAAGAAACTGAAACTGATGATGACGATGATGGGCAATGATGAAGATGATGATGATGATGATGATGATGATGATGATGATGATGATTATATTGATGATGATGATGATAACAACCATAATAAATGACAATAATAAGAAAGAAAGACAACGAAGAACAACACTAATATTAATGTGTTGCAAACAAGCCAAAGTCGGACTAACTCGGAACTGCCTGTCGTGACCATTTTCCTCGCGCAGCCAAGTCTTCAAATGACAGACGCGAACCGCAAATACGCACATCCACGCCGCCAAACCATCCCCTAACTACCGAAAAAAGGACACTAGGAAATGCCGAAATTCCAAATACCAAAAACGTAACATATAAAAAAGAAAGAAAAAAAAAACGTACGAAGGAGGTTGACACACACTAATTCGAACACCAAAGAAAATGTGCTGTTGGCTTAGTACAGATCCCTCCGATGCGCGTGTCCGATTGCGTTCGCTCTGACCTCGACCGCGATTAAGAAAAGATGAACATGGGGAAGAATTAAGAAAGTGAAGCTACTGCAGATAAAAGAGAAAGAGAAAGAGAAAGAGAAAGAGAGAGAGAGTGAGAGAGAGTGAGACAATGAGACAGAAAGGGAGAGACAGTGAGACAGTGAGAAAGAGAGAGAGACAGTGAGACAGTGAGAGAGAGACAGTGAGACAGAGAGAGACATTGAACCAGAGAGAGAGAGAGAGAGAGAGAGAGAGAGAGAGAGAGAGAGAGAGAGAGAGAGAGAGAGAGAGAGAGAGAGAGAGAGAGAGAGAGAGAGAGAGAGAATAAAAATCGGGGAGAGCAGAACGAAAACGAAATGAGAAGCAATACGAGAAAAAAAAACGAACAAACAGAAAACGGGAGACACAAAATCGAGAGAGAAACAAAAAAAATAAATAAATAATAAAAAAAATAAAAAAATAAATAAAAAACAGAGACAGCGCGGCCGACCGGAAATCCGAAAGAATGGCAACAAGCGCCTTCCTTCCAACCTTACTGTTACCCGGATGACCCGCACGTGCTACTCCCCCCCCTCCCCCTCTACCCTAATCACCCTCTCCCCCTTCTCCTTCCTTTTGTCTCCCTTCCCCTCCCTCCCCCCCTGTTTCCCCCATCTCCTCCTGCCTATTTGACGCTAAAGACTTTCCGCTCTGCACCC